AAATAATTCTAATGCACGACCAATGGATTAGTTTCTAGAGACATGTATGAACAATTATTTAAAATATTAAGAATAATAAAAAGAAATAAAAAATATATGCATATCCTCAAGTTGAAGAACTTGATATATAATCCGCATATACCGAACATTAGTTTTTAGTTCTTAGTTTTTAGATTAGTTTCAATAGGCATGTATTTGCAATAATTCAAAATATTAAAGAACTCTTGAAAAAAAAATATAAATAAAGTTAAAAAATATTTAAAATTATAAAAAAATTGTAAAGATAAATAAAAGATATATGCAAATCCCTAAGTTCAACAAATTTAATTAGATATATAAATTCATCCTAACGCGCGACCAATGGATTAGTTTCGATGAATTAGCAAAAATAAAAAATTTAAAAAATAAAAAATTTAAAAAAAAAAAATAAACAAATAAAAGATATGTATATATCCTTTAGTTCAACAAATGAAATTATATATTTAAATTATTTTTCTTTTTACGTTTTAAATTTAATTAAAAATTTTAATTCATCCATACTGTACTGGAATTTCAAACAACTTAAAAAAGCCACCCACTAAATAAATTGGCCGCATGTGACCGATCGTTAAAGAATATAAATGCAACAAATATTAAGCCTCATGATCCCAAGATATTAAATAAAACGACATTTAATTGAAATCAAAATAAAAAAATACAACAGATTAAAATTAAATATTCAAAGAATACACTAAAGAATAAATGAAGGCATATTCAAACATACCCAGTGGGAAATCTAATAAGAGCTAATACAATATATAGTAAAAAAATATACATATTCACATTATAATGTAATTTACCATTTTAAAGCATTTTTAATGGAAGTATCTTACAAAAACTAATAAAATATATAGTTATTAAAATAGCACATATTGTATACTATATTTATTAAAACAAATATTCGATGACTACTTTGTTTCCAGATATGACCCTAAAGCGTAACTACCTAGGATCATGTAAATTACTATTTTATAACGTTAATATGATATGTGTTTTCAAATGCGTTTTCATTACATGACAAGAATGCGAATATGACTACCCGTTTTCATTACACTGACAATATTTGACATTGAAAATGACTTAGTGAAAACAAGGCATTACGTTCTTCCCGAATCGTAGTCCTAACTTAAGTTTTAAAACCGACTTAAGTACAAAATCAATTAAATCAGCTCAGTTCATGACTTAAGCATTACCTCAGTCAGTATTGAGACTTAATTTACGACTGTGAAATGGGCACTTATTTTTAAAAAGGTTTGAGTACAATAGACTACAATCATTTAACCGATTTTTTGTCATAAAAATGCTGTAATATGGTTAATCACATGATGTATGTGGTCACGCTTCAGGGACGAAAGTACTCATCGAATACTTGCTTCTATAAATATAGTACAATATGTTCTATTTTTTTTTAATGACTTTATATCATATTAACTAAAGAGACATGCGATATAATAGTAGATATTAAAATAATAAGATCGCAGAGTAATTAAAAAGATAGAATAGTTTATAAAAATTTTGAATGTAGTCTCGGCATTAATTTATTATTATAATGCTTTAAAAAGTGTATGTTAATATGTGATATATGTTGCATTGACAAGAATTGTAAATTAAAAATGATTCTGACTGTATAATAAAACGTAGAGACTTTGTCTTTTATGTCACTATTCTAAATCTATAATAAACATTACATTTAAAAAAGAAGGTATTACATTTAAAAAAAGTTTCAATAGATATTTTTAGAGCTTTGTATATGTATGCTTATACATAAATTTATATTCAATAAGGGGCTCCTAATACGCTTCCAATATGGAAGTGCAGCTTCTAATATGAAAAAGTTAATTATAGCGCCTAAATGATATTGTATTGACCAGACTCTAAAACTACCCAGTTAATAATACATAACAAAATATTACTATCCCGGAAAACGGTAATTTTCTTTTACATCGATATGAGGAGAATCTAATACAAGAATCCAATAAGCTTTTAATGGCTAGTACTAGTTATATTAACAAGATTTTTTTGAAAAGATATATTTTTTGCATCGATATGAGGAGAATCTAATAAAAAAATCCAATAAGCTTTCAGTGGCTAGTACGAGTTATATTAATAAAATTATTTTCAAACGATATTTAAATATTTTAGTATTATTTTTAATTACTGTCTTCTAACATATGTATGTATAGTTGAAAGGAACATTCCTATGCGTTATTGGTATATTTACAAAATAATAATAAAGTACAAAAATTTAATATTTTATAGTTTGGTAAAGTAACTAATACATAACACATAAAGTAAGAGAAATGTTAGAAATTTCAGACCACTTAATCAAAGTATCTTTTTATTGTTTTTTACTTTTTCGACACAGTATAAAAAATGCAATGAGAAACGCCCTCAGTAATAATTTTGAACTCAATATCAATTCAAAACAATTGTAAATTTTTCGAAATTTTTTATAGTGTATACAAAGTTCAATGATTGATATAGGGTCTGGAAATCATTTTATAAAAACAAAAATTAAATTGCGAACACAAAAAAAAAAAAATAACTACGAATTCTTTGTTTACACCAATATTCGCAAAACGACACGAACTTTGGTATATAATATACTCGGACATCAACAAGAAAGACGTTTTACCAAAAACAGACCTTTGTACCTGAAACCGGTGAGTTTCTCTTCTGTTTACAAAGTACGGGTAAATAAACACATTAATCTCCACATACATTTCTTTATAGAGTTGAAGAATCTTCTCGTTGATTCTTCGCTCTTCACAGAATGTTGCTTGTTTAAACTGGTGTTTGTCAAATTAGGAAAGCAAAAACAGTGATAAATTCAAAGCAAAAAAAAAAAAAATAATTTAAAAATGTAACTTACAATAATTATTTAAATATAAAAAAAGAAAGTAATGAAAATATAAAGAAAAAAGTTTTAGCTACAAATTTTTAAAAAAAAATGTTCCAACATTTGAATTTTTTTTATTTAATTATATATAATGAAATAAAATAATTATATTTTCTTTTTGGTTTTTTTTTTTAGTTATATCAATATAAAAAATTTAAATATTTAAATACGATTTTGCTATTTGTTATTTAAAGATCCATAAACATATTGTATAAATGGGACAATGCTAATAGTAGAGTCAATAATTTTAAGTTATATATTTTGATTTGTAATATAATTTTTCTAATCTTGAGATGATGATAATTAATGTACATATCATTTAACCTAACTCAAAATAAAAATATGATTTCATATTTATAAAGATTCTTTTTTTATTTATTGAAAATTTTGTTATATAATATTTAATTGAAAGAATTTTTGTAGTCACATCGAATGACCTCCAATTTTAAAGACTTTTCTATAAATAAAATTGAAACAGTTTTCAGTTCTTAATATCGGAAATATTTTTCTCTGAAAAAACTTTTACATTTATTTATTGACAAGCAATAAAACAGTATATAAAATTAAAAAACAGAAAGCACAAAAATTGGCAAAACCAACAAAAGTGCTACCTAACAGCACTTAAATTAAGCAGGACAAATTAACCCTTCCCCACCTTTTACCACCACTCAACCACATCCTAACCCATGTAATCATCTTATTAATCAACTCTTTGTTTTCAATAGAGAGATATTTCGAACAGTATTAAATCACAACAATAATAATAATAATATATAATGTTTTCAATAGAGAAGTATTTTAAACAGTATTAAATCACAACAGTAATTTTTTTTTTATTTTGTTAATTAATAGAATAAAATACATAAAATTATTATTAAAAATTTTATTTTAACCCTGTTTACTGTAGATTATTTAACACTTACATTGTTTATAAATAACACTTACTAATTTTTGTAAAATTCATATATTTTTAAAAAAATATGTATTATACAAATATTTCAATCTGCTTTGTGTCTATTATTAATTGATTGTCTTTCATTGATAGTCTACAAATTGCTAATTGTCTATTTAGACAAATAATTATTACAATAAAATTATTATGATAAATTATAGAGTTATCGTAAACTTTCTATAGGTATTAGTATAATTTTCTAATACCTTATTCCTTACATAATTTTCTTATATATATTTCTTATATTTTATTTTTCTTATATAATGAATGCTTTCATTTAATAATATTTTTAAGTATTATGGCTAATTTGAGACTAATTTTTTATTTATTCTATATTATTAAGTTTAATAATGTTCGCCTTTGTAAAATTTATCTATGTATAGATATATGCCATCACTATTTTTTCTATAATCGATTTTTCTTTTAAATCGTAATGTCTTTTATCTTACTTTCAAAAGTTAAATTTTTTAATTAATAGATAAATAAGTATAAAGGTCGTATATACATAAAAGTTTATTAATCCTATTCATAAAAATTAAGAAAAAAAAACACTATAATTGTTTCCATTTAAGTACATAAATTAAGAAGATATTAAAAAATATGGTTATATCCATATATATTAAGAAGATCAATTTGACTAAATTACTATTTCCACTTAATTATATAAATTAAGCGGGTATAAAAAATATGGTGCAATTATTAATAAAAAATATAATTGTTTATTTATATATCATTTATATATCTTACACATTTTTTTAATTAGTTTAATAATTTTCGAAACCAGTGTGCAAAACTTTACACACACGTAAGCTAAAGAGTAAGCTGAAGAGTAAGATAAAGCGTAAGAGACAGCGTATATACTTGCATTAGGAATAATTCAATAGCAAAAGAAGTACAGCGCACTTGTGAATGTGTAAATTATTATAAATTATTTTTTTTTAATTATAAAAAGATATATTCTTAAAAGCAATATAAATTGACACGTGTAAATGCATCATCCCCCAAATCCGAACCACAACCTAACTCAAACTATTTTTCTACTGTAGGTAATGACGTTATTTCATATGACAAGAGTGGGTACATAATATGCGCCTTACTTAATAAACTTACCGAAATCCAAAAATTGTTTTATTGAAAGCGGCGACGGATTGTATTGAGAGTAACAATCGAGCATTTTCGATATGCTCGAGAGGCGCACTGGAAACAACCGCATTGTGCTTGCTGTTTGTTTGCTGTCGTGGTTCTTAATTATCCGATCAAAACTGTTTGTTGTTTGTGGTTTGTTGTACGTGTGAGGCTGATGAATTGTTTAAATGCTTTATACTTTGTTGCTATTATTACTTTATTTGCAGCTAACTCAATTTATTTATCGTGTTCTCTCTACTTCTGCATCAACAGCTATATTAATATATGGTACCTTGTATTTTGTTTAAATAGTTGCAGTTTGTTTTTTGTTGTAGAATATATGAGCGTAAAATTTTTAGTTGAAACAATTGTAACAAAGTAATTTTGTATTAAAATACAGACATCTGTTGTAGTTGCGACAATGTATGGAAAAAATTATTTACTAAATTAAAGTTCGTGCAATGACTCTTCAAGTACTACAAATCCAATTTATGCAATGTCACAATGTCAGTAGCTCTACAATGTTGTGCTCTACTCATAACCCACAATATCCTTCAATATCCTCATAAGTGACTAGTGTGTCCAGCATGTGTTATTCATTAAACGTTTGCTTACGTGCTGTTTTTTCGTAGAATTGAAAAAAAAATGTTGCATGCGATATATTTTTTTTGTCCTGGGCGATTTCTTGTCGGTTATATGAAATAATTTAGTTGCGTATAAATTTAAGGCTGAACCTTGCTCTGAATTTGATTAGAATTTTGTTGATATCAGCGATTTAATAATAAACAATAAGCTCTTTGTTGTAGATTTATTTAAGTAATTTAGTTCAATTATCAAATTAACAAACAATTTACATTAACACAAAAATAAAACACGTTAAAAACGCAAGCACGATTTAATATTATGTAGACATTATTAAATGTTGGTGCGACAAGTGTAACCCCCGTACACCGTCAAATATAAAGATTTTATAACTTGAAGCTTTAGTTCACTTTTTTCACCGTCGACTTTACCGATACCAAATCCCCGTGTGTTATGCTGCAAAAGTTCTGCTCTATTTTGGCGCTACCCCGACACAATCAAATGATTTTATATTATTTTCAATTTTACTTTATATCTTGCTTCGCCTTTTTTACATATCAGCTGTGATTGACATTTTGATGATGAAGCTATGTTTATACAAAGTTTTGAATTTTCGTGCGTGTAAGAATTTCAAAAACTTTCATTGAATTACGAAGTGAGGAGACATTGTGAAATTATTATAAGTTCTACACGTTTTATTAAAAATATTAATAGATTTAGTGTATTACAACGACGTTTATTTAGTGTATCGTGTATTTAAACTAAAAAGGTGAGTGAATTAGTCATTCTTTTCGATATACGTATGTATACCATATAAAAATTTATAACATAATATTTATATATTTTACTTAAAAAAATATTAAACAAAATTTTTACATATATTATTATAATATATAATACAAACAATTTATGATTTTAATAGATAATAATATATATAAAATAAAACTATTTTATTATTTGTGTCTAAAGTTGTATGTGCAACAATGGCGGACATAATTGGCGCCAAAGGCGTTGAAATGCAAAATTAAAAGAAATAATGCATAAGAACAAACAATTATATAATAAAACTGTTCTATCTCTGGAGCAAGACCCTTATGTAGGTTTGAAGTAGTTTATGTAGGTTGGAGTGGTGGTCTTGTGCTCGAAGCACACTTTAGTTCAAATAATGACCCTTTGTAGTACCACAGGATTAGTGTTAGTACATACGCAGAATAGAGGTCAAGGAATGAGCAACGCAGGAAGGCACCAAGTAAAGATGCACCAACCTGAGAAGTCTCTAAAGTTGGCTAAGTCCCTAATTTTGCAAGATGACAGCTCGGGCTAGGTCAGTAAGAAGTGGACACCGAAGATATTAGATAGTCTTCTAGCTAAAAAATGGACACTGACACATGAGGTGGATTTGAAATAGTTATCATGTAAAATATCAATCTTTTTTAAGAATCTAAGATTGTCTAAACTGATATATCAGCAAATATGCTTATAATTTACATAATTAGCTAAGAAATGCTTAATTCCTAATTTCTCCTGCCAAATTTTTACAATGAGTATTGAAATGAATAGTCCTTCCTATACAACAGTGTCTTCCATAAACTTCTATAAGCATTGCAATATCCACACGGTACCTGTTAATGAATTCCTAAGATTTGGTTTTATATGACGATCAGGTCGACCGGAAAGTTACATATAATTTTACTATATTCGACTAATTATTAGCTATAAACGAAAAAAGAAAGAAATAGTCTTAACAATCTCTATGAAAATATAGACTGGCACCTTTAAGGATATATTTCCTTCAATGTTTCTATAAGTGGGAAGAGAATGCGTAGTGGGTTACTTTTTCTGCAGCTGCGTAGTAATAGCCAAAAGCAGAGTGAAATTTTTACGCAATTAAATATATTTACTGCTCTCAAAGAAGTGCCATGTGCTAAGTTTAAAAATATTCTGCGCTTTATTAGATTCTCGTAGTGGTTAATTAATTAACTTGTGTTAAGTTATTGTATGAGAATGGACTTGTATGGTCTGTGAGTGATTATGACTGACTGAGCTGTAAACTAACCTGACTTAAAGATTGTTTGAAACTTCATCCCAAATACGTCCTTAAATTATTCAAATTACTGAACCAATCAATTAAACTGACCACCACAGGTACTTAACCTAACCTTAGGATTACTTGACTCTTCATTCCAAATACGTGAAAATACCGGAGTCCCAAAAAATATATTTTATTTTAAATATATGATATTTAAATTATAAACTTACTCCTTGATTCTGTCACTGCTTCGATTTATTAAATACAATTTATCACATTGCGTGTTACGGTTTAATGTCAGACTTGGCTTTTTTAATTACACAAGGTGAGTTTCAAGGAAAACTAAACTCTGCGCTGGTAACTTCTAAGTTTACCATAATCTTTCAAGTAAACTTAAAGACTATAAAATGTCATTTTTTTTGGGATTGGGAGTTTACAGCTCTCTTTTAGGTAACATGTAAGAACTAGAATCTTAGAACTACATCTTTCGCGGTGGTTTATCCTAGATCCACGTTGATCTTTCAAAAAGTTGGTAATAATTAGAAATTTTTGTTTTATTAACGCTTTATCGATTTGATATTTAATACTAAACAAATGAATTGGTTGATCCGAGTTAAATATACATATACGTTTAATCAGTAATATTTTTTAATAATATCTTAACAAGATGGGTCTATTTGACATATATTGTCTATATAAGACTGCTAGTGACATTGATTCTCATACTCAGTTTATGCCAAGAAGCTATAATTAGGAATTTCTTAACGAGAGACATTCTATATTTTATATCAAAGATGTAATATTTTCTATTTGTTTGGAGCGTTTTCCAGTAAAGTCCCATTATTTTGCAGTACTTAAAGCCCAAATATTTGTTTTTCTAGTTCTAAAGTCTCTATTTAATATCGTATTTGAAACTCAAGACAGTCTTCTATTTTCCATACTTTGAAAAGTCTTACTACAAGAAATCCAGCTTGAAGTATCTGCTTAGGTATCTGATAATAATTATTTGGTTGCAACGTTTCTATAATACATATGCATTCCTCAGTACAAGTTCTACTGGAAGAAAAAAACCTTTTCCTATTAGAATTACTGCATTAGCAAACATTGATCCCAAGTGCATATTCCAATCGACGGGTGTAGTACTATTCTTATTCGAAGACAAAATGTAAAATCAAAAAACAAATCTAGTAAATGATATCGTAAGCTAGAGATCTATATAAGTAGTGAAAGTAGGAAAATATCGTCTGACCTCAATCACCTAGAAAGTCTTTTTGATTCCATGTTTCTTGTAATTTTGGAAAACTATCTAATGGACGCGAATATTTGACTGACATCTTAACTACAAATGCTCTGGAGTGAGACAAAGAATATCATGCCTATATACTTGAAACTACATTTATGGAGATAAGCCTGAACAGTGGTATGTGAGGAATTTTTAATTTTAAATATCAAAGATTTATAAAAGTGTTCTGCAATATTTATATCATTTGAATATAACATACTGATGTTATATTCAAATGAAATACACATTATATATAGAATGCTATTTTGTTTCTTTCTTTAAATCACTTTTAAGCATTATTTTATATGTATAATGACACCGAAGATTTTCTAATCATTTACTATATGCCTGGAAAAACATGCTAACACTCACCTCGTATTTTTTCAAAGACTCCATTCATTGCTTGGTTAATAAGATAAATCATTTTTTTTTAAATATAATTTTGGGAAGTCCATTGGGTTTCTTAGTTAGTAGAAGTAACCATATTTTTTCGATTCTGTTGATCGGTAAAACTTACTACTACACAAAATAAATTTAACATCTATAATTTTAATTTTTTTTTCTGTATATGTATACATCTATATATATTTTATTTGCATATATGTTATGAAAATAATTATGCCTTTATCACAATAAAGAAAATAATTAAATAAAATATGGATCATCTATTATGAAATGAATCCGTGATAAGTAAAATATTAAAAAATTTTTAATATGTATGTATTCGTCTGCCCAACATTAATGTTTTTGCTTTGATAACAATTGTAAAAATTTAGTTTCAAATTTATGAAACCATTGTAGTATAAATTGATCAGTGGGCTAAGGGTTTATTATAAATGGTTTAGATTTATTGTCTGCACTTAACACATACATTGAAAGAATACATACAAAATTTTATCAATTTATATGCTTACTAAATATACGGATAGTTACAGATATATAGGTTTTGTTTTATTAGTATTATTAAAATTAAGAACCACATTATTTGCCCTTGCACTTCTCCATTATATACCTTCGTACGCCTTCCTTTTACTCATTTTTTAAATGAGCTGAATTGGTTCTTCTTAATCCCTCACGCCGCAGCTTTTGTTTTAACTGTGCAGTCTTCAAATTAGACATCATTTGTGTAGAATTATACAGCCAAGCTCCCTACAGATATATTATATATTATTAAGAAATTTAATTTGATTTATGTATATGATACTCACAATAAGTAACATGCAGTTAAGTAGAATAGGTATTGAGAATACTGTCGAGATAAAAAGACCTTAAAAACAAAAGTAGAATTAATTTTGATTATTAGTATTATGAAATTGGTTTTATTAATTAAATATTATATATAAAAAAAATACTTATATATATATATAGAGTCAAACTTCCATAACTGGAAGTACCATTTTGCAAAGAAAAGGTTTGACTTATGGAGACTTCGAGTTAAAGAATTTTTTTGTAATTGTATGTAATTTGCTCTCTAAACCCTGTTGCACTCTATTTAGTTCGAGTTATAGAAAATTCGAGGTTTAGAAGTTCAAGTTATGGAAGTTTGAATGTATATGAATATATAGCTTAACTCAAATCAACTAACATATTTTGATTGGTCTATGCCTTTTTTGTTTTATATTTTGGTATTGTTATTTTGTTATATTTATTGAGAAGGGAATGCCTAGATCCGGCTGCTACTCGTACCTTTTCAACATTATGTTATCTTTCACTATGCTAGTTTTTGACCGTACCACGCACATAGTCCTATGACAATTTAATTTGAAACCAACTAATCTATATAACAGGGATGTAAACGATTTCTAAATTGATTCGGATTTAAAGCCAAAATCTGTAACTTTTAAATGTTAATAAACTGAATCATTTTTTTGAAATAAAACCAGTTTAAATATTTTCTAATTAGTTTTGATAACAGCGAACCAAACCACTTATGCGTAGGATAGCTGAAACCAATTCAAAAATTTATCTACCTTACAGCTCTGATACATAGCATTCTACCAAAAATTGTCTAGTTTACAACTCTGATATATAGTCTTCTACTCTATCTCAAAGAGGTTCCAGCAAACCTCTTTAATATCTTTTATATATTTTTTTTATAAAAACTGGTATATATTGCTTTATATTTTGAGAGTTAAGTACAATAGTCTAAATATGACAACAAATGGCTGGATGTAACTACCTGCCAAAAACATTTCTTGTAGATTGCATTCATTTTAATATTAATATTTGCCATTTTTAGTATAAAAATGATAAAGTTTAAATCAATATACGTATTAGTTATGTTAACCAATTTAAAGTTAAGTTATAATTTTAATATTAATAAGTTAATAATTAATTGTTATAACATATATTATTGAATTTTTATTAAAAGTTTTATGTGCATATAGTTAACCGCCTCTGTGAATATTGATTAATCGATTTTTAAGCATTTATATAAAATGTACCATGGATTTTGGACTGTTTTTAACTGATTAAATCATATTCTTTATTTCAATATAAATGTTTATTGTGGCAAGAGCCGCATACCACCTAATTATGTGCTTTAATATATAACAACGTCTACTGGCAGAATATAGTTTAATAATGCGTTTACACTAGACAAAACTTTTATGGTCGGATGAGGTAATTCGGATGAGGTAATGTCTTGTTGAAACTACCTTGACATATTTTTTATTTTACAATTACAAGTTTAACACAAACCTTATAATAACAAAAATATCTTGTATGTTTGCTTTTACATAAAGCAATCTATACATTAATAACCTTCATAAGCAATATATACATATATATATATATATATATATGTATATCAATAATAATAATATTAATTTCACATTACATATATGCAAATCGAAATGAATAATACTTAAATCTTATATCTAAATTTTTAATAAATATAATTTTTTATATTACCATTGCTGTCGAAATACTGTTGTTTAGAGAATAGACGCCAGTTTTGTGCAGCATATTCATTGATTGTTTCCGAAAAGTAAGCAGCAGACACTAAAATTAAAAAATAATTTAATTACCATAATTGTATCATAAAATACATTTTTATTTTTCACAACAAACTTACACAAAACTAAGAACAAAAATATTTGAAAATTAACATTATTACGTGTCCTGATGGCAACGGTAGTGGTTAATATGTGTAACAATATTAACCCAATAAGCCAAGGATCCTTCCAATCTATCTGCAAGTGACGAAAATAAAATTAAACATGCATTTAGAAAATTATATTAGTGTGTACACAAATTTAATTATTGCACTAGGACCGGATTGTTTATTTTACACACAAACACAATTACGTGTTTTAAGTACTTACGCTCATTAAAAATGTCCAGTAACCCGTAATTTCGTTAACCTCTATTAATTGTGGATTAACCATTTTTATTTATACACTTTCAAACGAATTTTTTATTATTAATTATTGATAAAAAAATACACTAAACTTTTTTCTTTTTGTCACTATGCAACACACAACAAAGACTTGACATTTAACGAACTCCGTCTTTTTAATGTTCTGTACACATTCATTTTCCTCATTGACATTTTCTTTTAAAATGTCAATTCATGAGACGAATCAAAAAAAAAAAAAAGGAAGTTTCTGTTTGCTACGTTTTTGTGTACAAAATAAATTTGTATTGAGCTATGTTCAATAGTTTAATAAGTCTTGTATACTTGTTTTTGAATAGGACGTGTTTTTTAGCCACCAATTCAAGTGTTTTTACTGATTAAAGTTGATGTGTACAATTAAAAAAAAAATAAAAAAAAAAAACTATAAGTTTTGGATATATTTTAACTTCTTCCTCTGCTTGTTTTATTTCAACAATATAAGTTGTACGTGGAAGAGCACTTTTAACCGTTACTCTGCACAAATTAATTAATACATATACAAATATGTTTAATTTTTATCAATGAAGCATATTACTATGTTCAGACAGTTAAATTTCCTTAATTTCATAAAAATTAAATTAAATAAATTTCGAAAGTGTTCATACTGCCCTAAATTAAATAAATCATATGTTTTTTGTTTATATATCGAATGCTAAAAATTGCATGTTGCAAACACCATTACTATCTGTGAAATTTTAAAAGTTAATTACTATAACTATAAAGGATGGCATTCAGTAGTTTTATTACTTGTAATAAAAGGGACATTTCAAAGAAATTATGCGTAAGATACATTTTAAGCGAAAGATAAAAACAGCTGACTTTTTAATAAAACTGAACATTTTTTGAACGTAGTACGAATTTTTAAATTTGAATATAGAGAAAAAACTGCAACTGTTATTAATTTAACTATAATGAAAAACAATAATACACATGCCTAAAATCCACTAAAGCTAATAAAACTACTAAATGTCATCCTTTATAATTATAATAATCAAATTTTAAAATTTTCCAGATATAATAAATGTATGGAGCATGTAAATTTAACGTTCTACGAAATTTAAGAAATTTGGCTGTCTGATTATAGTATTACAATTACTATATAACTAACTTGATTATATTAAATATTAAAATTAAAAATATTATCATGTATTTGTACTCTATTTGTATAAAATAATAATAAAATTGTTTTAGCAACCTAATATATATTTCAATTAAAAGAAAGTCATATATATGTAGTAAAAATTTAACAAATACTTTTTATATTTGAATTTTGTATGTGGACTCTGCCGAATTTCCCGGTCATGCGCAGTAAACTATTGGATTCCATTAGGTATATTCTGTCAATTTGTGGAAGAAGATTGCGATTGCGATGTGTCAAAGTAATTATTTTTGCAAATCAGGAAAGTTTTCTAAGAAGTTTCTTAACTATATTTAGAATTAAGGTTTTAAAAATACAAAATATAGTGAAAATAATTGAAGTAAAAATAATTTATATATTTTAATATAAAAATTTATGAAATATATTTTTATAGATTTAACAAATTAGGTGAATATTAAACACAAAGAAACAGACAACAAAGTGAAAAGAAAAAACTGTAAAAAAACTGAACAGTGAAAAAAATTGCATATTCGATTTTTATTTATTTTTTTTTTATTTAATTTATGTGAAAAATAATTTAACGGAAAGGCATTAAGTTATATTTGCAATTGCCAGTAAAAACGGTATCAACTATCGATATCAACTATTGTGCGACGCAATATAAAGTAGTCGACTGTGTGCTGCACTCATAGTCGTCAACTTAATTGCAGTAAAATATAAGAAGGCGCGCTATATCATGGCAGTTAAACAGAATCCTGAAGCAACTGAATCATCAGCTGCCAACGGTGGTGCAACCACATCTACCACATCAAATGTGATACAAGGTGAACAGAATAGAGGCAATAGTGATGCGAATATGGAGCACGGAGACATGCAGAAACCGCCATTGGATAATAGTTCGAATGATGTGTGCGACGGAAGTTCTCCAGAACTGACAAAACTCCTTAGTATTATAGAATGTATTGAATTGCGAAGGCAAAATGGCAGAGTTGGATTTGATATGATGCTCTTTTATCAAGCTATTATCAATGAACTAGCTCGTATAAATGTTACACGTAGTGTTGACTTGAAACGTTTTAAAGAGGATATTTTAAAGATAGGCGAATTCTTTGCTAATGCAAAGGAAAAGTTAGCTTATAGATTCTTCCTTAAAATTGTCTGCCAAATTATGACAAACGAAACGAATGGCCCACCACCATCTTGCGCCGTAGCTGTAATACTTCAACTCTTCAAGGATGAAAATGTATATGACACAGTTAATGAATTGCTTGACCAGTGTATATCCACTGATCAAATACGCAGAGCTGTAACTTGTTTGAGTAATTGGATGAGAGTCTGCAATTTTTGTGAGAACTTAAACCTATGGATTATAGCAATTATGAATGGACTTTACGAGCAAGGCAAGCACTCTTTGTTTGTGCTGGTTGCATTGGATACTATTGAAATGCATTTTCATTCATTAATTTTGCCTATGTTACGCCCCAAAGTTATGAAAATCCTGTTCCTTTTACTAGAGCCTCTTTATTGTACAGTTGATGTATTTCATAAGGTAAATAGTGTTATATTTTTGACTATTTCTATAATTTAATTTTGTAATATTTAATATTAGATTGTGCCAAAGTTTTCCATAGTTGCTAATAATCTTAAAAAACAAGTTAAGGACTTTCCAGACGTCTTAGATCTTCTTCAACGTTTAACAATCGCTGTCAGTATACTGATGTCACGTTTCAGTGGTTTCGATGAGCTTTACGCACCAATGGTATGATCCTTTTCCATATATTTCATATATTTTTCTTAATAATAATAAATAAATTTTTAAGAGAGTAACTGTAAAGGATTTAGTAACAACTTTTGGGTTTAAGGTTGATGAGGTGAAAACTGCAAAGATACGAAAAGACTTTCTGAAATATGTTCCCGCAAGAAATAATGCTAAAGTCGGTTTAGTCAATTTAGGAAACACATGTTATGTAAACAGTATTTTTCAAGCACTAGTACTCACTAAAGAGTAAGTATTATTTATACTATTTTTATTCTGTATTTTTTTAATAACCCATAATTTTGTAGTTTTTGCCGTGAAATTTTGCTCAGTAACAGCCAATCTCCAATAATAATAAAAATGCAGCAATTCTTAGTACTAATGCTATATTCAACACGTAACGAAATAAATCCAGTGCATTTACTAAATGCGGTACGACCACCAGGTTTCACTCCAGGCGTTCAGCAGGATAGTTCAGAATTTTTGAGCTATTTACTAGAAACTGTTCATCAACAGGAAATGGCTTATGAACAACTTAAAACTCATCAACTAATGCGTCGTATTGAAGATGAACCTTTATCTAGTTATGGAGCACATGGAGGTATGTTTTTAAAAGAAAATATTTTAATTAAATCAATATATTAAATAAATTGTTATTAACAGATTCTCCAAGTAACAGTGCACAACTGTTTATGTCAATTGTTGACAAAACATTTACGGGAAAGATAGCTACAACATATACATGCTTAACTTGCAGAGGCAAAAACTCGTCGGTTGATACATTTAGGGACTTGCAGCTATCTTTCCCTGACATGAATAGTGATAGCAATGTCAACTACTTTGTACAGGATTTGCTTGATTTCTTTTGCAACACCGAGAAACTTTACGGAGATAATCAGTATTTCTGCAGTCTTTGCAAGAAGCATTCAGACGGAGAACGTTCCATTAAGTTCATTAGTGCTCCCAAAAACTTAATATTAACAATCAAACACTTCAAATACGATCAAAACTATCACATGCGCACCAAGTTACAAAACAAAGTTTCCCCCGATGAGAAAGTAAGTTGTTAAAAAACTGTTATTATCTATATAATAGTATATTATTTTATTATTTAAAATTATGTTTTTAAAAAGTGTATGTCAGTATTATATAAAAATAATAATGTGAAAGGTTTAAGTCTCTAATTCTTAAATATAAAAGTTGTAATGTTGTTGTAACCCGCTGGGATCTGCTTGTAAAATCTCTTTGGTGTGGTGGTAAACGACACCTGGTCGTCGTAGTTGGCGGGTGGATCCGAGACGTATATCCGGTCGTTCTTGAAATCTAAACGTTGTAATAAGCTAGTCCATTTATGTAAAAATAGTGTCAGGGTCAATCTAATAGTAGTCATAAATAAAAACATTAAATATTTTATTTAATTATATATTAAAATTGTCGCTCAAATAGTTTAAAGAGGTGTGTCTGTTTTTATTTAAATAGCCTCAAAATTAGTATTCTGTTTTCAATTAATTAAAATAATATTAAAAGAATTTTTAACTAAAACATCCCCCCTTCTTCTGCGGGATTTCTACCCCCGGGACCGTTTTCGTATTACTTCAGAGAGGATCCCTTATAAGTTACCCATCCATACCATATGCTTCTCGTAAAACCTGCGTCCAGACTCTCACTCCTGATCCTAATTGGAAAGTCATAAGATTGCACTTCGTTTAAGATTAGTTTGCGTCAATGTCTTTCTTCTTTTTCCTAAGCACATTTCCGATGAATTGTATGATGTTATTCCTATTTTCTACTCGTTCTGTCATTTTTTTACGATATTCTCGACTGTGAAGTGACCTATATATTCTGCAAGAAGTGTTCTTTCTCCATGCCATCTGTCGCAGTTGAAGAAAGTATGCTCAGCAATGTCCTCGACGGATTCGCAGTATATACAGTTAGGCTGCTCTACTTTTTGTATTCTGTACAGATACTTTCGGAAATATCCATGACCAGATAGGAACTATTTGACATAATACTCAATCTCGCTCTAAATTCTGTTGCACTCTATTTAATTTAAGTTATAGATTATTCAAATTATGGAACCTTGACTGTATATATATTAATATTATATATATAAAATAACAATATTACATTATGTATAATATATTATTATATTGTATATAATATATTTTAATATTATATATATATTATACATATAAAATAATAATATAGTATTATGTATATTATGGTATAATATGTATATAATATATTGTTTTACATATATATAATATATATACTATGTTGTATATAATATATAATATTGCTTGTAATATGTTAAATATAATATATGCTTAATATATAATATGATAAAAATAATATGATAAAATATTCTATAATATATAAGAATATATTATATATAATATAATAATATTAAATACATTATATTATTAATATTATATTACATTATATTATATAATTTATATATATTACATTATATTATTATAATAAATTTGTGTATCACACAAATAAAAACAATTTTTTTTTTAGATTTCTATCAAAATGTTCCGGGGAGATAAGCGTAACGAAGTCGTCTCCATACATTACGATCTCTATACAAGTATTGTACACTCTGGTGTTAGTGTTGATTCTGGTCATTATTATGCCTATGGATCAGATTTTGTTAATAATTGGTATAAGTTCAATGACAGCATTGTGACAAAAAGTAACTTAAAAGATTTGCATGAACTTTCACCACCAAATACACCCTATATACTATTTTATAAAATGAGTGCAACCTCCGTGAAGAGTATCAATTCTGACGAGTTAACAAAGCTTACCAAAGTTGATGTACCTGCTCCACCGAAAATGAATGAACTGCCACGCCATTTACGTGATTTCGTAAATCAGGATAACTATTTGTACTTGGATGAATTTGACAACGATCCATTCAAAGCAACGGCTTTCAATAATTATAAAATTCACACCGACAGAGAAGAGGAGGAGGAGGAAGATACGGAAGAGGATGAAAAAAAAACTGAAATTTTTTCCAACTCAGCTGCAGATAATTTAAAGAAATTTTTAAACGATAATCATGAAGATGATGATGATGATGAGCAGCCACCTACTAGTTGTGGTACAAATGCCTTAAAAAACAACATGAATCTTTTCATATTCTAAGCTACAGTTATTTTCACATACTAACCAACAACAATGAATTCGTGAAATATAAAGTAAAAACAATTACAAAATTTTTTTAAATATTTAATATATATATATATGTATATAAATATATATATTTAAATAGTGTTCTGAACAGCAAATTGTAAATGTGTCCATATGTAACGTTTTTATATAGTGAGTACGCGTGATGTGCTTGGGTGTGTTTGGCAACATCAAATATAGTTCTAGTTCCATTGGCAACTTAGCTTATGCGATGAGATGCCGATCAATTAAATACTTAACATAAAGTTCAAATTTATTAATTTCATACATAAATTATTATATTTTTAATATAAAAGTTAAATAATTTCATTGTTAATTTATATGTTTATAAATTTTTAAATATCGAAGTAACGCATATGTAAAGCAGCTTAATTGAATGAATTTATTTATAATATATATTTTAGGTTTTAATTAATATAATTAAACATATCGCTAGTTCACAGATTTCTGAACAAAAATAATATAAATAATTTTATTTAAAGAACATACAACTAAACATCTAAATAAACAATTGTCTATATAAATTTAACAGCTAATAAATGAATGGACCTAACACCAAACATATGTATGTAATTATTGTAGATTCTTTAAATTTTTATATTTATTTTAAATCGTTTTTAATATGTATATTTATAATATAATAGTATACTTTACTGGTATAAAAATGTGAAAGAAGCTATTTGTAAAGGAAATTATTTATTATGTACAGACTTAATATATATATATATATTTCTATGTGTGTATATATATTAAGTAATATATAATAGCTAGAATATTTAATGTTACAAAAGAACCTTTTAATTTTATTTATTGCATTGCAATAAAATTGCAATGCAAAAGTTAATTTGATACAATGCTTTAACAATTAAAACTAAAGAAAAGTAAAATGAATTTCTCAAATAGAACTTAGTTTAAAAATATAATTTGCAATCAACAAAACAAAAAAAAATAAGTTATTATTTTTTTACATATTAAAATTTAATTTAAAGCATTTCAAAAAAACAAATAAAAAGAATAAATCTTATATAAATCATTTATAATGTGTAAAATATGAAACAAAAAACTATTCTTCAATATACAAAAAAAAATTTGCGGACAGTTGAAATGCACAAAGACTGGTTAAAATATAAAATTAATTTGGTTAAAAATAAATCATAAAAATGTAAAAACAAAAATGCAATGCTAGAAATATAAAATAATTTACTTCAAAAGCAAAAAAAAAAAAATAAATGTGAATTATATATAAAAAATCAGTAAACACTTTTTAAAATTGGATTCAATTTAACTAAAAACCAAAACAAAGTAATAATAAAATATTCTTTATATGTGAACTATACACCACATTCTGTAAAAAATTCTACAACATAAGTATCCTTATAATAATCCTATATATATTACATATATTAATTTATCAAAGTAATTAATATAAATAGAAACATTAAAAATGTGAAAAAACTTAATTAATTTATAAATAAAATTTAGAACTAAGTTCCATTACAATATCACAAATATAAAGCTATTTGCTAATCTTTTTCTTCTTCTTTATTTGCCAATTCGATTTCGAATATTGGTGGTGATCATTTAACATAAAACTATATTGTTTAAATTAGCTTTTCCTCATCACATAATTTATTTAATCTCATAAATATCTACCGCTTTTACAGACTTTGAGTTCTATAAAATATAAATTTTAAAAATAATTTTAATAATTCAATTAAAAAACATTATTAAAATTATTTTTTCAAAAATAATTTTGAACTTATACATAGATATAGGTATGATATGATATAGATAAATTTGGTTTTTCACAAATTTAGTTAGTTAGTTAGTCTTTTAAGAGAAATAAAAATAAGTTGTTATTTTTTCGTCTCAACGAAGATGATATTAATTTTTCATTTAACTTCCAAACTATTATTTTTTATAGATACATACTTACTAGTTCTGGAATTAAAGATTCACTTAAAGCAGACTTTTAAATGTAATGACAAATACAGAACAACATATAAGTCAAACTTCCATAAATCGAACTTCTATAACTTGAACTAAAAATAGTGCAACAACGTTTTAGAGAGCTAATAACATACAATTCTGCTTTCATAATTCAAACTTCTAAAACTCGAATTTTTCTAAAACTCGAATAAAAATATTGTCACGAGTCAATTAAAACTTTTGTTCCATATTCAATATTTAAAAATATCGATCAAAACATTCCCATATCTGGAGGAATATTAGAAAAGAAGGCAGTGAAATTTGCGAAACTGTTTGGTGATGATAATTTTAAGGCAAGCACTGGTTGGCTTGATAAATGGAAGTAAATATACTGAACAAGCCATTTACTGATAAAAAATAAATAAAATCCCAAACCCTTATTTTTGAATATTTTACCTTACTATAACTACTGTGCTGTATTTGATTTCAAATAAATAAATATCTTACAATGTAATTCTAATTTCTTTCAAAAATAAAAAAAAATTCCTAACTCGAAGTGTCCATAAGTCAAACCTTTCCTTTGCGAAATAGTACTTGAAGTTATGGAAGTTTCACTGTATATATGATGATATAATATGAAAGTTTCAAATATTCCATAATTATAGATAGTAAGTTTTAAAATAAAATGTTTGTATTGGCACGTAATCTCGAAAATGTTAATCTATTTATACATATTAACCCAATATAATACCTGTTTAATTGTATACCATTAATTTGGTGTTGTTGTTGTAATCCTCGATGATCTAACAATCGGATAACATGGAAAATTAAGAGTTGAGATGTGGGTAGATGATGGTAGCATGTGAGGCGATTGTTTATGAGTAAGAATGCCGTTATTGTTTCGTTTTTAGGAAAGATTGTTCTTAAACTAAAAAAAAGGCAGGTCTTATACAAAATATTTTGCATGCTCAAGATCCCTACCCTCCTTTGCTTCACTTATATGTGTTAGAACTCAGCTCCACATAATATTTGTAAACTTACTTTGATCGTTACAACAATGCAGTTTACCATTAAAGAATGCAACCCAGTGCATATAGGAACTGTCAGTTCATGTATCAGCTGGTTATCATTCATGCTTTCCTTTTCCAATTAAGATCCGATACGAGCAAAGCGGTTGTTGCGACTAAGAGTAAGTAAAATAGTTAATTTAAGTATAAATAATGAATAAGTTTTTAAAGCATCATCATCGCCATTATCATCACAATTACTACATCATCGGTTTTAAAATTGATCTTCAAACAATATGAAAACATTATAAATACTGTATTATAAATATTATGTCTAATAAGAGTTTGTTGGTATTATTAAAAAAATTTGCTTCAGGCTGAGATTAGATAAACCTAGTACATATGCATAATATATATACATATATATATATTATATACATACATATATATATTATGTATATATATATATATTCATTCATATACTAGATTTCAGTCTGAAGCGAATGTTTTAAAAATATCATCAAACAAACGCGTTCAGTATTTATAATCTTCGCTCTAACGGGTGGAGTTAACATATATACATAATATATATACATATATATATTATATACATACATATATATATTATGTATATATATATATTCATTCATATACTAGATTTCAGTCTGAAGCGAATGTTTTAAAAATATCATCAAACAAACGCGTTCAGTATTTATAATCATCGCTCTAACGGGTGGAGTTAACATATATACATAATATATATACATATATATATTATATGCATACATATATATATTATGTATATATATATATTCATTCCTATACTAGATTTCAGTCTGAAGCGAATGTTTTAAAAATATTATCAAACAAATGCTTTCAGTATTTATAATCTTTGCTCTAACGGGTGGAGTTAACAGTGTTGTGAAAATATAAACAACAACTATCTCTTCCATTTAAAATTATATGAAATTGATGAATTATAAGAATAAAATTAATTTTTTATACTATTTAAATATTATAAATAAAAATTAACACATTTTTATTAAGAAATATTTAATAAATTAATTTTTTACAAATATTTTAATTATTTGCGAAATATCTAATAAAAGCGTAACTACAAAAAATGTATGTTACTTTTTTTCACAGTGCAACACTGTTAAGCTAACAAATTTTTACTTGTTTTCATTTCATTTCTTCGTGACGCTGCGTATGTGCTTTTCGCTTTAAGTTTACTAAAATTAAGAACGCAAAAACTTAAAAAAAAATTTAAATAGAAAAAACGCAAAAAAAAATTTTAAAAAAATAACAACAAATTATCACAAGAATATCAAAAACGGTTTTCTAATTAACCGCTTTGGGTGGTTAAATTTCGGAAGTGCAAGAAGTGAAATCAAACGTTAGAAGGGAGCTGAGCGAACAACATATTTAATTACGTCAACAAATTTATAAAAATGAATTTTTTTATGCTTAAACGATTGTAAAATATTTTAATCAGTACATCGTAATAAAAGTTTTATTGTATTTAAAAATTTATTGTTGGTATTTTATTGTTGTATTTTAGTTGGCAAATCGATTGCCTCGTTTTCTACGCATTTTTTAATACAAGTTTCTCGTTTGTTATTTTTTAATATAAATTTTAAATGTATTTACTTAACGATTTTATGAAAATTCAAATTTAAAGCAAAACGGCATTCTTAAATTAAAAACCATATAAGTAGTAAAAATAAATGCATCGCGGAGAAAATGTGCACGGAAGTTGTATCTCGAAAAGATTTGCACGAATTGTTATACCTTTTCGAAAAAAAGTCATTCGAAGCGACAGTATGCTTTGAAGATGGCAACGTGGTAAGTTTTTGAACCCTTAATGTTTTATATTTTACTTCTATTTCATGCGGCATTGCATAAATTTAGGCGCAGCATGTGCTTTTCGTTTTCCATTGATACTGTTTGAATAGCGTGTAGTGTGTTTTAAGGCGTATGCTCCATCCATGCAAACACGTTTTGCATAGCCGGTGTTGTTAGAAATACTCGTGATCTTTCGTCAGTATTCGTGCCTTAATAGGTCTCGTGTTAATATTAAAACGTGTTTACTTTTAGGGCAGCAGTTATATTTGCAGCCCCATTTTATTTTGTATTTGTTAAGCAAATTCAATAATAACTGTTTTTTTTATTGAAAAGCCTTAAACATTAATTATAAAGAAATGAGTTATTTTATACATGATATGTGATATACGGTATATATGTTTCATTCCATTCGAATATTAAATGAAATTGCGTACTGTTTTTTTTTCTTTTTCGTTATTTTAATAAATCATCATCTGTTATAAAATAAAAATTCTTTTTTTAAAATGACCGCCCGAGTCGGAGGTAAAGCTTTAAAAATTAAGAGAAAAATGAAGAGTAGTGCACGAGGCGATA